GGAGAGAAAGCTATCCATCCAGGAAGGTTTTTAGCTTTTTGGCCCGAGCAAGCACTGGGGCCACGTTCTGAGATGGGGGTGTGGGGGTGGGAGGGAGTGGGGAAAGAAGCAGGTTTGTGAGGGAGAAATATTGAGGCTCTCCTTTGGACACACTAATTTGGAGATGCCAACTGGGAAACTGGATGTGAGTCTGCAGTTTGGGGAGAGGCCTGAGCTACTGACATCACTTGGGTATTATTGTAGAAGGCATTTTAAGGTGTGGGGTTTGAAGAGGGTGTTCAGAGAGGGAAGGACCAGGGCCTGGAAGAGGAGACTGAGAAAGGGCAGACAATTTGGGGGGAGCAAAATCAAGAGATGGTCATAGCACCAAAAGTGTTCAGGTTAAAATGCATTTGGCTTCCAGGAACAAGGATCAAACGTAATAATACCTGGTGTCATATAGGAAGGTGTTTCCTTCTTGCCACATAAAAGTGAGATGTGTGTATTGCGTGCATGTGTGTGTGTGTGTGTGCGTGGGCACCCAGGGACAACAGGGTGGCCCCACAGGTATCGGAGACACAGACATCTTCTATCTAGATTTTGCCACTGTTAGCCTACAACTTCATCCACAAGGTCAACTCAGAGTTCATAATGGCGGCTGGCACTCCAGCCGTCACATCTCTATCCTCACACCAGGAGAGAGGAAGGACAGGAGAACAAGAAAGTCTCATGCCAATTGCCAGTCTCCTTCCTAACCTGCTTTCCTGGAACTTCCACTCACAGCCTCCTTTTATATCTCCTTGGCTGCCTCTGTCTCAAGGGGGCTGCATGATACAGTCTTCCTGGCTCTTAATATCTTCACCTTAAAACGGGGGGCTCTTCACTCATTTGTGTTTTGCTGTTCATGCGTGCATTCATTTATTCATGAACTATGTCAGGCATCAGGGCTGAACTAAGGACTGAATGCACTGGGCTTGGTGATTGGGGGGTGAGCCTGTTCCTGCCCCCTGCTGAGCGCAGATGCTTAATGTTCACCACAGCCCCTGGGCTGATTCAGTCCCCATTTGCTGCATGAAGACAGCAGGCCTGCAGGGGGTGAGAGGACAGAGGGGCCCAGCATTGACTGGCGGTGTGCACCACGGTGCCATCCGCACCTGTGGGATTGGTGTAGTGAACCTGCCTCCACCAGCAGGCTCTGCTGAGGGCCCTGCAGACTTGCAGGCGAAGGGGACGGCTCTGTGCCTGCTGCAGGAAGTGTCAGAACAATGCATCTCCGTAGCCGGGGAGGTCTGCGCACGCCCACAGAGATATCCCCTGTGTGTTCTGGAATGTTTAGTGTGGTTGGCCTTGCCAATGATTTATGAAATACATTAAAAATAGTTTTTACCTAGAGATAAAGTATGGCCCTGATTCTTGGTGTACAATGACCATTGTACTTGTTGATGACTTCAGCTATAGTTGCATGAAATCAGTATTATATTCACCCAGAATACCTAATAACATAGTTTCCCCAGCAAGCACTGGGTGTTTGGGAAGAATTTCCTCTGGGGGCACAGCGAAACATTCATGTCTTACCTTAAGAGGCGATGGATAAAATTATCCCGATTACTAAGAGATTACTTGTGCAGTGACTAAAGCCTGCTGACTCCATTGTGTAGGCAGCTACAGTTTTCAGAGTCTGACCTCACTCGCTCTGCAGCCGGGATCACTGGCCCACCTGCTCCCACGCGCCTGACGGGACCCCTGAGGGGTTTCCCTGGCAGGCAAGCCTGGCAGCTCTGGCCTGGATCTTAATCTTCCTAATTCAATTCCTTAGCATAGATAAGCCACCTCATTTATGGTGTTTCAATGTCTGTTTCTTGTTCATTAGAATCTCCTTTTAAGTGTCCCAAATGTGTCCAAGCTTTGTCTTCTCAGCAGAGAGAAAGGAGGCAGACTGCAATGCCAGTCCATTCTGTGTGTGGATCTCTTCCCCCATCAGATGGGCACTCTTCGGGCTGCCCGCTGAGAGATGGCCTTGCTTTCTCACAGAATCAGCCCAGAGACTGGGAAAGAGAAACCATCGGTGGCCATGCAAGGCCAACACTCACAGTGAAGCTCATTAGGGCCACATTGGTCTTGTAGACTCATTAGAAAGCTCTGGGACTAGACTCCGGTTTCCAGCTGGCATGTGACTTTGGGCACATCACCCAACTTCTCCAACTGCCACCTTATTTCTTCTTTCTTTCTTTCTTTCTTTCTTTCTTTCTTTCTTTCTTTCTTTTTTAAAATACTTAAAAAATATATTTTATTGATTTTTTTACAGAGAGGAAGAGAGAGGGATAGAGAGCTAGAATCATGGTTGAGAGAGAATCATCGATCAGCTGCCTCTTGCACACCCCCTACTGGGGATATGCCGCAACCAAGGTACATGCCCTTGACCGGAATCGAACCTGGGACCTTTCAGTTCGCAGGCTGATGCTCTATCCACTGAGTCAAACCGGTTTCAGTGCCACCTTACTTTTTCTTTTAAAAAATATGAATTTTATTTTTTTTAGAGCAGTTTTAGGTTCACAGCAGAATTGAGGAGTTTTAGAGACTTCTCATATGTCACCTGCTCCTCAAGCATGCATGGCTTCCCCCATGATCAGCATACCCCACAAGAGTGGTGCATTTGTTAAAACTGATGAACCTACACTGACATACCATAGTCACTAAAAGGCCACACTGACCATAGGGTTCCTTTCATTGCTGTGTATTCCATGGGTTGGGACAAATGTATACTGATGAGAATTCACTATGATAGTGTCACAGACACAGTGTTTTGCTACTGCAAACATCCTCTGTGCTCTGCCTATTCATCCCTTTTCTCCCCAACTGCTGGCAACCACTGATGTTTTACCATCTCCGTAGTTTTGCCTTTTTCAGAATGTTTTATAGTTGGAGTCATATAGTATTCAGACTTTTCAGTTTAGCTATTTTTTTTCCACTTAGTAATATACATTTAAAGTTTCCCCATGGCTTTTAACAGCTTAATGGTTAATTTCTTTTACTTTTTTATTTTGAAATTAAGAAATTATTTTAAAATTACGGTTGACATACAATATTATAATAATTTCAGGTGTATGACATAGTGATGACTCTCAACCAATTGAGCCACACCAGTCAGGGACTGTCTTTTTAAAAAATAAATTAGGAAGAGCGGAAACATCAGTGATGGGAGAGAATCATCAGTTGACTGCCTCCTGCAGGCCCCCCATTGAGGATCCAGCATGTGCCCAGACTGGGAATAGAACTGTGACCTCCATGTGCTCAACCACTCGGCCATGCCAGTCAGGCTCTTGCTACTTTTAAGGTCCTCTCTTTTTCGATATTTAAATTATGATATGTTTTGGTATGGGCCTTTTTGGTTCAACTTGTTTGAGACTCTCTGAAATTATTGGACTTGTATGTGCATTTCCTTCATCAGGTTAGAGAAGTTTTCAGCCATTATTTCTTCAAAGAGGTTTTTAATCACTTTTTCTTTCTTCTCTCCTTTTGGTACCTTTATGATGCAAATATTGGTATTCTTAATTTTGTAACAATCTTGATTAATTTTTTTAATAGGTATTTTCTCCTAACTTGTGTTCAGATTATGAATTTGATCTTCTGCTTCATCTAATCTGCTATTGATCCTCTTTAGTTCATTCTTCATTTTTTTTACTCTATTTTTCCCCCATTAGTTTGTTGAAGTTCTGACTCAGCTAATTGATTCTTCTGCTAAGTTTGTTGAGCATCCTTATAACCAGTGTTATGAATTCTGTTTCTCATAGGTTGCTTATCTCTATTTTTTTTCCCCTTTAAAAATATATTTTTTATTGTTGATAGTATTACCGACATCTCCCATTTCTCCACCTACCCCCATCCAGGTCTTCACTACCCTATTACCTGTGTCCATAGGCTGTGCATGTAAGTATATAAGTTCTTTGGCTTCTCTCTTCTTGTATCCCCAACCCCACATTGAGGTAAGCCAGTCTGTTCCATGCCTCCATCCTTTGGATCTTATTTTGTTGGTAAATTTCATTTTGTTCATTAGATTTCACAAAAATAAGTGAGATCATGTAAAAAATATTTATCTTTCTCAATTTGGCTTATTTCACTTAACATAATATTTACCAGGTCCATCCATTCTGTCCCAAAAGGTAAGAGAGATCTCTTTTTTTGCAGCTGCATACTATTCCATTGTGTAAATGTCTCACAGCTTTTTTATCCACTCATCTACTGATGGGCACTTGGGCTACTTCCAAGTCTTAGCTATTGTAAATTATCCTGCTATGAAAACTGGGGTGCATACATTCTTTCTGATTGCTGTTTTGGGTTTCTTAGGATACATTCCCAGAAGTGGGATTGCTGGGTCAAACGGAAGTTCCATACTTATTTTTTTGAGGAAACTCCATACTGTTTTCCATAGTGGCTGTACCAGTCTGAATTCCCACCAGCAATGAACTAGTGTTCCCTTTTCTCCTCATCCTCACCAGCACTTGTTTATTAATATTTTTATGATAGCCATTTTGACAGACATGAGCTGATATCTCATTGTGGTTTTAATGTTCATTTCTCTAATTATTAGTGACTTTAGGTAGTTTTTCATGTGTGTCTTGGTCATTTGTATGTCCTCTTTGGAGAAATATCTATTCAGGTCTTCTGCCCATTTTTTTTTCAACCCTTACCTGAAGATATTTTTTCCATTAGTTTTTAGAAAGAATGGAAGAGAGAGGCAAAGATAGAGAGAAATGTTGATGTGAGAGAAACACATCGATTGGTTGCCTCCTGCATGTGTCCCCACCAGGGCCAAGGACTGGGAGGAACTTGCAACCAAGGTATGTGCCCTTGACTGGAATTGAACCTGGGACCATTAGGTTTGCAGGCTGACACTTTATCCACTGAGCCAAACTGGCTAGGTTGTCTTCTGCTCATTTTTAAATTGGATTGTTTGTGTTCTTTTTGAGTAATTTATATATTTTGGATATTAACCCCTTATCAGATATATCATTACAAAATATGTTCTCCCATGCAATGGGCTCCGTTTTCAATTTGTTGATGGTTTCTTTTGCTGTGCAGAAGTGTTTTATTTTGATGTAGTTTCATTTGTTTATTTTCTCCTTAGTTTCCTTTGCCCTAGGAGGCTTATCTGTAAACATATTACTGCATAAGATATCTGAGATATTACTGCCTATGTTTTCTTCTAAGATTTTTATGGTTTCATGCCTTACATTTAAGTCTTTTAAAAAATTTTATTGATTTTTTACAGAGAGAAAGAGAGAGGGATAGAGAGTTAGAAACATCAATGAGAGAGAGACATCAATCAGCTGCCTCTTGCACACCCCCTACTGGGGATGTGCCCGCAACCAATGTACATGCCCTTGGCCAGAAGTGAACCTGGGACCTTTCAGTTCACAGGCTGACGCTCTATCCACTGAGCCAAACCGGTTTCGGCCATTTAAGTATTTTATCCACCTTGAGCTTATTCTTGTACATGGTGTAAGTTGGTGGTCTAGTTTCATTTTTTTTTTTTCTCCATGTGTCTGTCCATCCAGTTTTCCTAGCACTATTTGTTGAAGAGACTGTTTTTACTCCATTATATGTTTTTGCCTCCTTTGTCAAATATTAATTGACTGTAATGGTGTGGGTCAATTTCTGGGGCCTCTGTTCTGATCCATTGGTCTACATGCCTGTTCTTGTGCCATTATCAGGCTGTTTTGGTTATAATGGCTTTGTATAATAGTATGGTTTGATAGCCAGTATTGTGATTCCTCTTACTTTGTTCTTTTTTCTCAAGATTGCTGCAGCTATTCAGGATCTTATTTTTTTCCTTCGTAACTTCTGTTCTCCTTTTACGTTTCCACTCTTCCTACCAGTCTCTATGTGGTCTCTGCTTTCCATTCTTGGTTATTGGGTTCTTTCCAGCTAGTCCTCAGTTGATTTTTCAGGGTGATTCTTCTATATTTTAGTTGTAATTCCAGTTTGGTCCTGGGAACGTATCTGTGAGCTTCCACTTACTCTGCCACCATTTTTAATCCCCCGCTTGTCTCCATTTTCCCCCCACCCCACCTTGTTCTTTCATTTTTTGTCTTGTAATATTTCTTTGTCTTGTAATTTTGGCTGACTCCCTGTGTTTTTTTTTCCTATGACTTACATCTTGTAGTTTTGATAAAATGGTCTTATATAGAAGGTGTCCTGGGAGACCCAGTGGTTGATTTGTATATAAAAGATATTAAAAAATATTTTTTTAATTTTATAATTATTGATGTATAAGATTATATGATTTTTAGGTGTACAACCAAGGGAGTAAATATTTGTATAACAGCTCAAATGGTCACCCCAATAAATCTAGTACCTATCTCACACCGTAGTTTTTCCAACATTACTAATTTTTATGCTATATTTTACATACTCATGATTATACTGTAACTACCAATGTGTACTTCTTAATCCTTTCACATTTTTATCTCAACCCCCAACCCATCTGGCAGCCATCAAAATGTTCTCTTTATCCACGAATCTCTTTCTGATCTGCTTGCTTATTTTGTTCTTTAGATTTCACATATAAGTGAGAAAATATGGTATTTGTCTTTCTCTATCTCACTTATTTCATTTAGCACAGTACCCTTTAGGTCCATCCATGTTGTTGCAGATTCACTCTTTTTATGGTTGAGTCATATTCCATTTTATATATGTACCACTTTTCCTTTATCCAGTCACCTATTGCTTCCATATCTACGATATCCTATCTAATAAAAGAGTAATATGCAAATTGACCATCACTCCAACACACAAGATAGCTTCCCCCATGTGGTCAAAGATGGCTGCCCCCATCTGGACACTAGATGGCCACCACAAGATGGCCATCAGGGGAGGGCAGTTGGGAGGCACCAGGCCTGCAAGGGAGGGCAGTTGGAGGCAATCAATCCTGTAGGGGAGGGAAGTTAGGGGCAATCAGACTGGCAGGGGAGCAGTTAGGCATCAATCAGGCTGGCAGGGGAGTGGTTAGGGGCAATCAGGAAGGCAAGCAGGCAAGCAGTTGGGAGCCAGCAGTCCTGGATGGTGAGAATAATGTCCGACTGCTCATTTAGGCCGGATCCTACCTGGTTTGGGCCTAAATGGGCAATTGGACATCCCTTGAGGGGTCCCAGATTGAAGAGGGTGCAGGCTGGGCTGAGGGACACACCTTTCTGTGCACGAATTTTGTGCACCGGGTCTCTAGTTGTAAATAATGCTGCAGTGAACATATGAATGCATATGTTTTTTTGAATTAATGGTTGTGTTTCTGGGCCCTTTGTTGTTTATTATTATAGATTTTGTTTTAAAGTCTCTTTTGTCTGGTATAACTTGCTACTCCAACCTTCTTTTATTTGATTTTCATGAAATGTCTTTTTGCATCCCATTACTTTCATATCCTTGTGTATCTTTTGATCTAAAGTGAGTCTCTTGTAGACAGCATATGTGAAGGTCTTGTTTTGTTATCAGTTCAGTCATTGTATGTTTTTTATTCAAAGCATAGTAATTGTTAATAGATATGTATTTATTGACCATTTCTCCTCTTCCTACTCTTCTTCCTCCTCCTCCTCCTCCTCCTCCTCCTCCTCATCCTCATCCTCATCCTCATTCTCCTCTTCCTCCTTCTCCTCCTTCTTCAAAAAGACTTTTTAATGTTTCTTGTAATCCTGGTTTGGTGGTAATTAACTCATTTAGCTTTTTCTTGTCTGGGAAGCTCTTTATGTATACTAGGATTCTAAAAGATAACTTTTCTAGATAGAGAATATTAGTTGTAGGTTCCTGCTTTTTATTACTTTGAATTTTTTCTGCCAATTCCTTCTGCCTTGCAAAGTTCCTGTTGAGAAATCAGCTGACAGTTTTGTGGTAGCTCTCTTGTAGGAACAAACTGCTTTTCTTTTGCTGCTTTTAATATTTTTGTAACCTTTGGCACATTAATTATGATGTTTCTTGGTGTGAATCTCTTTGGGTTCATCTTTTTGGCACTCTCTACACTTTCTGTGTATTTCCTTCAGGCTAGAGAAGTTTTTAGTCATTATTTTTTCAAATAAGTGTTCAATTCTTTTTTCTCTCTCTCTTCTTTTTTTTGGAAATGACAGTACTGTTGGAAAAATAGAAGGCAGTAGAAAAAGAGGAAGATCAAATATGAGATGGGTTGACTCAATAAAAGAAGCCACAAGTCTGAGTCTATAGGAGCTGAGCAGGGCTGTTGAAGACAGGGCAATGTGGTCATCATTCATTCCTAGAGTAGTCAAAAGAAGAGCTGACTCAGCAGCACATAAAACACACTCATCACTACCATCACATTGGATAGCAAAGCTCCAAACTGTCTTTAAGTCCTTTGGCCATTTTAAAAATTAGACTGTTTTTCTTTGCTTATTAAAAAAAATATTTTATTGATTTTTTTTTTTTTTTTTTTTTTTTTTTTTTTTTTTTTTTTTTTTTTTACAGAGAGGAAGGGAGAGGGATAGAGAGTTAGAAATATCGACGAGAGAGAGAAACATTGATCAGCTGCCTCCTGCACCCTTCCCACTGGGTTTGTGTCTGCAACCAAGGTACATATCCTTGACTGGAATCAAACCTGGGACCCTTGAGTCTGCAGGCTGATGCTCTATCCACTGAGAAAAACCTGTTAGGGCTTTCTTTGCTTATTGATTTCTAAGAACTTAGGGTACATTTTAGTCCTTTGCTTTCACATGGATAGAAATTATTATTTTTTCTCAATTTTACTTTCACTTTTGATCTTGTTTACTGTAGTTTAGTTGTAATTTTGAAGTAGTAGTGGGGAATTCCAGTAAAGTGTGTCCCTACTCTGCCATCTTGACCAAAATTGTCTTAAAAAATATATTTTTTATTGATTTTTTTTTTACAGAGAGGAAGGGAGAGGGATAGCGAGTTAGAAACATCGATCAGCTGCCTCCTGCACACTCCCCACTGGGTAAGTGCCCACAACCAAGGAACATGACCCTGTCCAGAATTGAACCTGGGACCCTTGAGTCCATAGGCTGATGCTCTATCCACTGAGCCAAACAGGCCAGGACCCAAAATTGTCTTTTAATTTTCTATTTCACTTAGTTCCCCTCTGACTTTTATTATTATTTTCACGTACTTAATTTTGGTTTTGTTTATTTCTCTTTTTTGTTTTGTTTTCTAAACAACTGTTGATTGTTTAGGGGCTTGTTTCATCTCCTTGTATTTGTATTTTTCCAAGATATTTTTTTTTTTAGTTGATTTCCAGTTTTATGCCTCATGGCCATAAAATATGCTTGATATAATTTCAATTTTCTTGAATTCATTGAGGCTTGTTTTGAAGCCAATTAATGTGATATATCTTGAGAAATGTTCCATGTGCATGTAAGAGAAATATGTAACCTACAGTTTTTGGATGAGATGCTCTATAAATGTTTATCAAGTCAAATTCATCTAATTTGGAATATAAGGCCATTGTTTTTAAAAATTATTTTTTTTTTGTTTAAGTTACCTATTTATTGAAGTAATGGAGTACTAAAGTCCCCAACTATTATGGCATTATTGTTCATTTTTGCATTTATGTCCACTAACATTTACTTCACATATTTGGGTGCTCCTGTGCTGGCTGTGTCGATATTTACAATTGTTATATCTTATTTTTCTCGGATAGACCCATTTATAATTATGTAATGCTCTACTTTGTCTTTTAAAAATTCTTTGTTTTGAAGTCTATTTTGTCTGATATTATATTAGCATGCAATATCTTTCCTCTTCCTTTTTTGTTCAGCCCGTGTGTGTCTTTCAATTTGAAGCAAGTCTCTTCTTGTAAGCAGTATATTGATGGGCCATTTAAAAAAAACAAAACCCATTCTGACACCCTATGTTTTTTGATTGAAACATTTAGTCTATTTATATTTAGGATAATTATTAATAAGTATGTGCTTACTGTCATTTTGTTAATTGTTGTTGTTCACTGTTTCTTCTCCTCCTGATCTCTTTCTCTTTCTTCTCCTGATATGCCTATTATTCTTATATTTCTCTTTCTAACAGAGTCAGATAGTTCTTTCATTAAAAAACAAACAAACAAACAAAAAACCTCTAATTTTTGTCTCTTCTTCCACCTGAGTTATTTCTAGATTTGTATCTTTGAACTCACTGAATCTCACTTTTATTGGGTCTGCTCTATTTTTCAATGTTCTCTAATGCAGTCCTTATCTCATTTATTGAGTTCTCCAGATGCATCTCACTTATTCTTTTTTATAATTTCAGTATTTTTGGAAAAGTACTCCTTATGTTGATTTTAATCCTGAGCTCATTGAACTGCCTTTATGAGTTTTCTTGGAGTTCATTGAGTTTATTGACTACTGCAATTTTGAATTTTCTGTAATTTAAATTGGATTCTTTTATGCCTTTAAGTTTGGTTTCTGGAGAATTTTAACTTTCTTCTGAGATATCTTGTTATCTCAGTTATTTTAATTGATGAATTGTTTCTCTCCTTGAAGTAGTGAATTTCAAAAAAGAGTACTTTGTTAAGTACATCTTAATAATTCAGAGTTGATAGGTGGAGGTTTTTCTCTTGATTTCCAGTAGATGTTGCTATAGTGCAAGTTTTTATTTTCACATACCTGCACTAATGGCACTCTCCAATCTCAGTGTGTCAACCTTACCTCATTAATGGAAAATAACTTGTATGCCTTGAGATTGTCCCCTTTATGTCTGGGTTGCCTTGGGACTAGGCTTGGGACTAAGTCTATCAGCTGTCCAAGGAGTGCCTGCTGCCTCTATTGTGTTTTGCCTCTACTAGTTTTGCTGTAATGGGTGGGCAAGTAGGTGAGGACAGGTGGGTTCATGATTTTGTGGCTTTGCCTTCTTAGTAGTAATGGTGGCTGTTTGTGGCTGCCACACTGCTGTGTCTCTGCCCCGGCACTGGGTTTAATGATGGCGCTGGTTAAAATGCTGTGTGTGCATCACCCATGAGGCTGCGATGTGAGAGCTGCAGTCAAACTCCTCCACCACCACTACTGCTGTCACATGGTGGCTGTTTGTGGCTGCCACACTGCTGTTTCTGTGGTGGGCACCAGACCACATATGAGATCCCCATCTCTATCCTTTCCTTCATCTCATCGCCTCCGCTCATTCTGACATGCCCACCTTCAGAATTACTAGGTTCTCTCCTAATGGGCCACTGCACAGGAACTTGCTCTTGGCCACTCACCCGGGGTTCCGGTAGAGGGAAAATGACTCAGGGCATATAAGAGTCCTAAAGAAAAGACCTGGAGAGTGTGGCTCTGGAGACAGATCTGGAGGGCTGGCTACTGAGATCCCAGTTCTGAGTCAACATCCTTCACCATCCTCATCCACCATCTCACAACACTGGGCAGGCTATTCTTAGAACACCAGTGGGGGGAGTGGAATAACAATGTTCCCAAAATCCAGGTGATACCACCCTCCAAGATTGAGTTTGGCAGGAATGATTGTTGGCTGCCCCGCAAAGGGACCTGTGGCATCTCTTTTTCTGTACAGACTATAAGCACTCTCAGACAGTCGGATTGGTGTGGTTTTGAAATGGAGGCTAATTTTTCTCCCCTCCCACTGGTTCAGCAGGCCCCATCCCAGTGGAAGATTTCCTTGTCAGGGTCGCTAGTGGTGTAGCTGTGGCGCTAAGGGAAGGCAGGCAGCTCACTTCCCCTTTGCCAGACTGACACCAACCTCAACAAAAAATGACCTTGATCTCTTTTTACTAGTTCCCCTGGCCCCATCCTGCTGGGCTCAGTGTTGCAAGAGGAAGGGAACAAGGTTGGAGCTGAGATCTCTGGAGTGTGACTCCACTGGGGTCTCTGATGGCATGGCTGTGGAGCCAGAGAAGGACGTGCAGCTTGTTCCCCTCCCAAGGACCAGCACCATGCCCAACAGAGAACTACCTTGCTCCTGCTGGGCTTGGTTCTGCAGGGAAAAGGGAGCATAGCTCGGAGCTAAAACCTTTGGAATAAAGATCAATCAAGATCTCTGATGGCACAGCTGCAGAGCTAGGGGGAGGCATGCAGCTTGGTCCCCCCTACCCCCCCCCCCAAAAAAAAAAAAAAGACTTTCTTGATCTGTTCGCCCAAGTCCTGCTGAGCTTGGTCCTGCGGTGGGAACAGCTGGCTCACCTCACTTGAACCTGTGGTTTGCTCCTCCTCAGGGAGAGCTAGAGACTCTAACAGAAACTGAATGGTATGGCTCTGGAATAATGGGCCACATTCTCTACGTTGAGTGCCTGACTATACTGCCCCCTGTCCTCCCAACCTGTTCACCCCACCCTACCAAGCTTGAGTTGTGTGGAACAGCCAGTGGAGCATGACCAGCTTGGGCCCACTCTGCAGCCTTTCTTCATAAGACTTTAGAACAAGTCCAGGCAATCTTGGGGAGGTGGTGGGGGTGGAAGAGCTAATAGGTGGATGCTGACCTTATGGAGCCTAGAGAAGGACCTGTAGCTTGCTTCCCTTACAACAGAGAACTTTCATTGATCTGTCCCCCATTCAGTTTTAGAAGCTAATCCTGGTATAAAGCCTGGCTTCTTCTTCTTCTTTTTTAAAATAGGTTTTTTATTGGTTTCAGAGAGGAAGGAAGAGGGAGAAAGAAACATCAATGATGAGAGATAAACATTGATTGGTTGTCTCCCACATGCCCTCTACTGGGATTGAGCTTGCAACTTGGGCATGTGCCCTTGACTGGAATCAAATCCAGGACCCTTCAGTCTGCAGGCCAACACTCTATTCACTTAGCCTAACCAGCTAGGGCAAGCATGGCCCCTTTTACACACACGTAGGCCCAGTAGACACAGCCACAAACAGTGAATTGCATGGAAGCTCCAGAAAGGTAGCACAAGGCTTATTACACACAACATCTGACATCTACCTGCACCGAAGCCTGGGATATGGGGACCCAAAGTAAAAACTGCCAGTGATGGACTTCAAAATAAGTCAGAACTTGATACAACTAGTCACACAAATGACACAGCTAAACGGGGACTTTGGCAAACATCAGACCCTTCCAGGAAAACCTCTGTCTTGGGTGTGCAGCCCCTGAACAGCTACTCATACATGGTGAACGAGGTCCATCCTTATGGTCGGCCTGCCTGAAGGTTAACTCTATCATAAATGGGCCAAGAGCATTCAATACTCAACTACAATAGGAGAGGGCACATAACCCACACAAAAATAATTTCTGGAGTGCCTTGCTCAGTTGATCTAGAATACTGTGCAACTGCTACCCACAAGGCACCTATACAAGAAAGCCCTCATAACAAGATTGGGCGTCATAGCAGATCTATCTAACACACAGAGACAAATACAAAAAGGCAGACAAAATGGGAAGACAAAGAAATATGCCCTAAACGAGAGTTTAAAACAATGATGCTAAAAACCTTGGGAAAATAATGCATAATTTCAGCGAGAACTTAAACAGAGATAGTAAGTATTAACAAGGATATAGAAACAATTAAAAGAACCAGTCAGGTATGAAGAATACAATATCTGAAATAAAAAATACATTGGAAGGAAAAAACAGCAGGTTAGAGAAAGCAGAACCAGCAATTCAGAGGACAATAAAAGTGTAAGCACACAAACGTTGCAACAAAAATAAAGTAGAATTTAGCCTGGCCAGCGTGGCTCTGTATTTGAGCATCAACTCGAAACTGGGAGGTTACAGTTAGATTCCTGGTTAGGGCATATACCCAGCTTGAGGATTTGATTTCCAGTAAAGGAGGTGCATAAGGTGGCCAATGATTTTTCTCTCATAATTTGTGTTTTTATCTCTTTCTTTCTCACCCTTCCTCTCAGAAATAAATAAAAACTTTTAAAAAATAAGAATTAAAAAAATAACAAAAGTCTGAGGAACCTTTGAGACAAAAATCAAGCTTAACAGCATCCATGTCATAGGCCCCATAGGGGTACCAGAAGGAGAATAGAATACACAAGGAATTGAGAACCTGTTTGCAGAAATAATGGCTTAACACTTCTTTAGCCTAGTGAAGGAAAAAGTCACACAAGTCCAAGAAGTACAGAAATTTCCAATTAAGATGATCTCAAAAAGACCAATTACACACAACATCTGACATCTACCGGAACATTATAATTAAAATGGCAAAGGTTAAAAAT